GCTATTTTTTTATAAGATAATATCTCAAGGACATAAATTGAAGTCTTAAAAAATGAATTTTATTTTTAAGAAACCGAGAAAGGAATTTGCATTTCGTGAAAATAAGTAAATTTTTATTCCGATATGAAATTTTTCAACAGGAATATGAAAATTGATTGGATACGTATATATAGTTAATCGACTGAAAAATACGGATGCAATTTTCGGTCCAATGCTATTTTATGCGGCGCAGCTTGTCTCTTTCCATAAATTGCGCGGCCACACTCGCGTTGTAATTAAAAAAAAAAGTATGACCGAATTCGCGTGACTCGATCCGTATGCAACGACACGGAAAATATTCGTATGCACACGATACCGAACGAATATGCATCGAAATTAGAAATCGTTAAAGAAACGCGGAATTTTAGTGGTGTTCGACGATCCATGAAATTTTACTCGAATTCAGAGGTCGAATTCAGATCGTATTACGAAAATCTGTTTAATTGTTGTGGCTTTCTGACACAATGCTATTATTAAGCGTTTCATGAACGTTCCATGACCGAATTATCTAGAATCGTTTTATTAATTTTGATGTTAGTCTCTTTGATAAAAATGTGAATAAATTGCCATTGTGTGAAAAGAAAATTCTTTTATATTTTGTCTTTTTTAAATACTTGAATATTTGTAGTTATGTCAGCTTTGTTCAGAATTGCGACATCGATGAAACGATAATAAAATAAAACTAAAGAGAGGCTTAAAATAAGTCTGGATTTTTTAATTTAGTAAAAAACGCACCATTTTCAATGAGCATGTTAAAACAACAAACTTTACACGTGATATAATAAATCTTATTATATTTGCAGTATTATCAACATGAAAATTGAAAATGAAATCTGCGTTGACGATGTCTGCCAACTGGCATGATGTAAATATAAAACGCACGTGCGGATCTGCGAAATATAGGAATGCCAGATTTGTGCAGTTTCGACAATGTCCCGAATTCCGAGTGCGTCGGCTAATGTTACGCGTTCAATAACGTTTATCAGAAACCCAGGATTATGACGCGAATAGAATTTTTCGATGAAGAATTTTATTTACAAAGAGACTATAAATTCCTAATATAACATTTACAATATTCGACCATGGTGTATGGTAAAATACGTTTACACTAAATAAGTTTTTCTATATAAATACTTTTAAAAATATATAACGACATATACTATGTAAGTTATTATATAAACAGAAACAAAGAGTAATTATAAAATATTTTTTATCATCTCTCTGTAATATAGTTAAAAACAGCGCTTTCATTAATTATTTGCTAAAATGCTTCATAAAGTTCTGCATTTTTACATAAAAAAATGTATATATAATGTTATATAATAATTTATTCATAATAAAGAGATAACTTGACAGTATTGCGCACACAAAGTGCGCAATACAATGTGCTATCAATACAATGCGCGATACAATGCTATCTTTCTTCTTGGGCAATTGACTTGATTTCTCTTGACATCTGCACAATTATTTATCGATTAGTTCCCATTGTCATTTTAGTGGCGCAGACTGATACCGCGAGATCGTTACGCGGAATAAATTCATGACGCGAGGATTCGAGATTGCCGTCTTTATGAGTCCTAGGAGACCGTTCCTGTCAGCGACAGAAGCGGGATTAGTCACTCTCCTCAGTGTCCTGCGGTGCTACTTTTGTATTAGATGAACCGTCATGGTGGTTGAGGGCAGAAACAAGCGAAAGAATGCAAGAGCAGAGGGTCTTTCTGTGGCCGCAATCTCGTGGCGACAATTACGCGGTGGCAACGAAATGGCTGCTCAACGCTTTGTAATACCACTGCAACGCGAGATTAAACCGCAGCTTGCTTAATCAGAGTTTAACTCTGGTTAAACAAAATTTTAATATATTTTTCGTATTTTAAAATACAAAATTACTTTAAATTACAAAATTCTAAGAAATTTTTATTATTCATATATTTTTTGTGATTCATATATTTCAAAGAAAATAAATAAAGTCACTTTATCGAATTATCGTTGAAGAATATTTTATAAAAAAATCAATAATTTTATTAAATAATTAATGAAGAAAGACACTTGAATTTTGCACTATTAATTTTATGAAAATTTTCATGCTAGGATATTTAATATGGTTCTAACATTTTCAGTACCAGTAGTTTCAGTAATATTTTGAGTAAAATATGAATTTGGAAAACTAGGTGGTTAAAAATGAACAAAAAAGTAGCATATAAATTTCCTATCTTTGTTTACCACAAATACTTGATTTACAGAGTGCTTTGTCACTGATTGCGCGATCGGAAAATCTATGCCAGTATATATCTGGCGGTGCATCTCCTACATATTTCATATATTAAAAATGTCACACGGCTTTGTCAATCAATATTACAATCTCGATATAGAAATAGAGATGGGCGCCCAGCGCTACGCGCCCGTCGGTATTTGTCATGTACTGCGCGCGCTTTTATTTTACATCGGCCAGAGATTTTTCTGTATTTATTTTGAGTGGATTTTTTATCGTGCGCTCTCGCCGAAAAACTCGCGGCACGGACGAAATTCGAAGTTAAACGTCACTTTGCAATCCGAGCGGGACGCATCCGAGATACACGGCGAATAAAATTCGTATTTTTTCCATATCAATATTTGCAAAACTTCTCTGTATCCGATCAAAATCCCTGCGTCGCAGCCTATCGATGATAAAGCACGTTCGGGAGGGGCAACAGGCAAAAAAATTTTTTATCACCGTTCCAACATGATGGACTATAATCAAATCGATGGCTCGGCGCAACAAGGTTGTAACTCAAAAACAAATTATTTTTGAAGTGCTCATCGATGGAGGATGTATATTTCTTGCTAATAAAACGAAATTTTATTAGCATGACAAATATGACAAGCCAGAAAAATAATTTTAGGATAAATTTATAGCATGCATTTCAAAACAGGATATTTATTGGAAAATTTTTACATAAACTTCAGTTTTTTCACGTGAATTTATTTCTCTTTGGAGAAGTGCCATGCGTCATTTTTAAAAATTCTGCGTGAGAATTTTTTATTTTTTGACATTTAATTTTCCAAAATAGGCAATAGAGAGAAATACATATCTTATGGAGAAATTTATTTTCTGCATTAGAGAAATTTAATATTTAGAGTTACAACATTTGTGCAGCAAACTATCAATGCTAATACGTGTGGCGAATAAATCGAGTTGGTCAATGGATTGAAAGGCGACGCTCGCTGGAGGGTGGGAGTTTAAATTTGTTCTTGGCACCCGCTAGGCTGACGTTGCGGGAGATATTGCAGGAGTGGATAATTTACTCGATTATTTAATAGCTTTGGCTACGGCTACGAGCCAAGACTTACACGTACAGCATACTACGAAGCGGACGACGTGCGCCCGGATGTTGCCAACTTTTATGAATGGAATTATGATATAACGTCGACAAAATTGCGCTCTTTCGAAATCACGTCACGGTATGTCGCACAAGTAAAAGCAGGAAGACGTGTTTATGCTTATGTGCGTAGCAATTTGATTAAAAGTGCATTGATTATGTAAAATCCTGTATTATAAAAAATTTTATTAAATAATATTCTGTACTATACATTACGAAGTTATATACGAAGTTATATTCAATTTAGAAGAAATAGGAAAATATAATTCTTCACCTTTTCAAAAATAAAAGTTCCATTAATTCAAATTTAACCTTTTATATTTAAAGTAATTTATTTATAAAGAAAAAACTAAAGAATATCTTTATATTTTCTAGGAATATTTTCTTATTTATTAACCACAATTTTTTATAAAGTTGAGATAATTTTCTAAAAATATGACACATATATAAACATAATGGTCCGGTATTATTTGTATCCAGCTTTTCAATTACGGCATGCTGAGCGACGTCACGTGTTCTGTCCCAGAATGGGATTCCATATTAAACCTCTTTCACCGACGGATTACTCATTACTGCGCTAACAATCTCGGAAGCGTGCCGACCTTAATCACCATTCACAAATTAATCTCGCGGTACCGCCGACCGACGGTATCGTTTGTTGACGGCACCGTCTAGCCAAATATATTACCTGTTAGGCTCCGGAAGACATGCGAGTAAGTTATGATTGTGTACATGGAGATTACTCCTCTGACTTCGGCAAATATATCCGTTGTACCGGCTGTAATTTAATCGGCGGAATGTCGAGAATTCGATGCGTTAACCCTCCTGAATCTGCTGTGCACAGGAACGCTGGAAAAATTGTTAGATCGACATGATAAAGAATGAAAATATAGCCGAATTTCGTAGAATCGTAGAATGTCAGAATAATTTTGATTAAAGCATATAAGCAGAAATATAATTATAAATGTTAAATAATTACAAGATAAAAAGTATTTCTCTCCATATTCTCTTTAATATTTCATAAAATATCTGTATTCAAACAAAGTTTTGATCGTCTTAGGTGAAATGGAGTTCTACTGAGGTCAAATTGACCGGAAGTGCACGAGAATTAATTTAATCCTTCAGCTAAGTTTGATCCACTCTCGATTTAACATCAATATTGAATCGATAACGGTTCGTTTCACAACGAACTTCGCAAGAAAGTGTATAATCTTGCCGCAAGAACGTTAATTGACGGTCTATTAGTACAATAAAATACTAGACTTCACATTTTATGATCATAATCATTAAGATTGTGCATTAATAACTGAAAAAAAATCATACAGAAACTCAAATAATTTGTCTTTCTCTTTTAACTTATTATATGACTATTATACAATAGTTTTATTTTTGCATTAAAAACATAATTTGGGAAAGTGAATCAGGAATTTCGTATTAATCCTTTCGTATTAATCCTTTTCTTCTTGATTGAAAATCGAGCGCTTTTACATTCTTATTTAAAATAATTTATTCGCCTTATTTTAATTCTCTGAGATTCTCTCTATATTTTTTTGTATTAAATATACAAACTATTACGCATACAAGCTGACGAAATTATTTTCTTGCAGGTGGAACTGGCGATGTCGAGGATTCGGATACTGACGTGCAGGACTACAGCACGGACGAAGACTACAACGATGTTTTTGACTCTACTACTAACGGGTAAGTCTTGTATGGCTTGCAACCCCTATTGTTTTATCGTCTTATCGCAGGATTAAATACGAAACATATATCCGTCTAACTAGTATCGTGCCTAATTAGCAATTAAAATTGCTATTGATCGCGTCCATCCGCGATGACCGAAGACTTCCTCTCTACGTCCGGGCGAAATTGCCGAGACAGGCAAGAAATCGACCCGAAGAACCTTTTTTAATTGCGTTACGCTCCTACACATACACTCTCCCGTTTTTTCTTGTTCTTTTTTTCGGTGGGAACTCTTCTAAAACAAGAAGATGTGATAAGAATACTTCATTGATCGTCAAACCACGTCAAAGTATCCTTTGGGATAATCAACTTATTTTAGAGCTTGAAAGAAACGGGCTTTGATATCGGTATCAATATTAACATATTTTATACGTTTAATTTTAATTAATTATAATATATTGTTATTTATATTTATTATCTAATAACAAATTATTATAAATATCTTCAAAAATATATATAAATATACTTAAGGCAAAGTAAGAAAACATTTACTAATCGACAAAAGTCTAGAATGCGATAATATTTTACTTAAATAAAGAATAAATATTTGTTAAAAGACATATGTATAAATAATAATCCAATCGAGAAAAATTAAAATTTTTCATGTTGAAAAAGCAATTCGAAATCGATTGAGTATCAAAAGCAGGGAAGGATGATAATCATTACAAAAAAGAATTATATGAGGAGGACGAAAGACATTTCAGAGATTCGTATGACGGGAAACCGAGACAAGGGAGAGAGGAACCCCGCGGGGCTTAATAAGGAAGCGACTTGATTGGTTCGATTCGAAAGCTAATAATGCCACTTCCCCGTGTAGGCAAACCCCGTTTGGAACTGCAAAGGCTGCCGCACGATTAAATTTGAATTCTCTGTCTCGCCCCTCTCCCTCCTCATCCCCCATCTCTGAGTAAGCTAATTTGCGAAGGACGCGTCGATAGAGTCAATCGAAATTCCGCAGTTCAAATTTCATATCCGTATTTTCCTCGGGCACAGCGATTGGCGAAGCGGGTTTCCGACAGGTTTCTCCATGCGCGCCCGGTATGAGTTTACAGCAGGATGAAAATATATTCGAAAATTCCCATCTTGGGAATATCCCTTCGCGCCCGAGACCTCAAGGAGAAAAGTCGCGCAATTTCCGCGCCGCGCGTTGCGACTCGCGCTGTGCGATTTTTTTTCACATAGAGTTCGATATCGGAGTCCTGTCTCAATAAATCAGTTACGTTTTTGTCGTTACGTTGGAAAATTTAATATCGAAATCAACGGACAAAGAGAAAAGAACCTCAATTCGTCAAAGAGATATTTCAAACGTTATTCAGTTATTCTAGGTCATTTTGCCAAAATTTATGATATATACTTTTAATTTCCCGTTAACATTTCTTCTTTCAGAAGTCTTTTCATCAAATATGAAAGAATTTTACAATTTATACAGTTGAGACTTCTCTGCTATTTTCTCCCCTCGAGAATTTAACATTCTGTCGCAATAAATCAGTTTTGTCGATTAGAAAAATTGATTATTGAAATCGATGTCGAAAGACAAAAGAAAGATCTATGCTTTTTTATTAAACAGCATCAATTATTTTCTATAAGCGATAGGAGTAATCTTTTAATGTTAACTAAATCAATATAATGCAATTAATATTTAAAATAATAATCTAAAACATTAATGTATTTAGATAAACTTAACATTATTTTATAATTGTTTAATTTATTTTTTTATACAAGAAACTCGATCGATTATTTATGAAATTTTTCGATTTGTGTATCTAAGAATGACTAGATTTAACACGATTATCTTATCATGTCATTTTATATATGATCTATTCTTTGCTGGTGCCGGATGCAAGCGAGACATATGAATCAATATACGAAGCTCAGATTTATCGTGATATATATTTCGACATGATAATACACTCGTCGTTATTGAAATTACACGCCATAAAACGCTCGTGCGACACCTTGCTTCTAAGACAGCGTATATATCTTTGGTCGTTCCGTAAAATTTATATCTTCCTTTCGTAGAGTACTCAAGGAAAATATATTTCGGGTAGTCTATATACAGCTATATATATATATATATAAAATCTCTTAATGTTACAGAATTTTCATTTATTCCTCGTCGATGTTCATGAATTATTATCACAAATAAAATATCACTTATGAAGTACCGGAGAATTCAGGATGAAAAATAATGCTATAAGCATAATGTTTATGAAATGTAATTGTGTAGAAAATAAAATATTTAAAACAGAATTTGTACAAACAAATTATATGAATATATCATGATATAATTATATTCTCATAAATATTGCAACTAATATGTTTGATTACACTTTGTGTTTGCCTCATTTTCAAATTCAAATTTGATATGCAAATTTAAATAGCGAATATAATTTAGTAGATTTTATATTAGATAATATTTGTCTAGGTAAAGTTATAATAATCATAATAATTGTTTACGATAACAATTTACGATAACAATTTTAATTTACGTTAACCGGAGGCCGTACTCAAGTTTACTGTTAAACAACTTTGGCTTGATACCCCGAAATATCACATTTACATGCTGGACAAGAGAGGCATGAGTTTACATCATTACATCGCGACATAATGATACGGTAATGGGTTCGCCGCGATTGAAATTACGCGTCCTAGTCGATCGTAGTGACACATTATGGTTGTGATATCGATAGGACGCGTGGCCACACGCGCGGTCCACTGTGTGCGCCGTGTTACATGTGTGTTACATGTGTGTTCGTGCGCGCCTTTCCGTATGCGTATACTTGCACACAATTTCAACGTACATTTCTCCAATGCGATCGCTATACATTATTCCACCCTAAATGTGGCATAGCTCCATTAATATTGATGCTCCGTTGGTTGCGAGCTTCTACGAGTAGCCGCATCTCTATACGGGATGTTAAGCAAGAATAGATCTTCATCCTGGAGAAGATCCTCATAATCATATGATTACGCTAGAGTCGCTTGGGAAAGGCTCAATCGGATCAAACTGTCAGATTAGAATTTTCGAGTAGACATTAAGTTGGAAATACACCGGCGGTTTTTGGGAAAAAAATATTAAAATTGAAAATATTGAAATTAAAAGTATTTAAATCATCAAAATTAAATACACGTGTACATGAGTGTAATATGTAATTATATATATGTGAAAAAAATAAACGTAAATTTGAATACTGTTACGTAATATATTATGCAGTATTAGGTATATCAGGCGAGGAAAGCTAAGTGTTAATCGATTTGTCTATTAGCGGTTATTCGTACACGATTCGTGGTGCAAACTTGTTATAGCCGCAGTATCACTGACAATAATCATTGGCACGGCATTGTTTACCTCTAATTTGAATGTAAATGTTACGGCGCGCATTGCTTCCCAATGAACATTGAGTACGCTAACGTTGCAACAACATGTTACTGGTCTGAAAATGATGACAGCGTTCGATACTCCGCTTACAACCCAATCATGGCGTAATAGAAACCAGACGCATTATTTATACTATTATACTATTATAATAACAAATACGTGATAAGTAGCAAACATATAACCGACATTGATAAATCGTTCAATTAGAATTCAATGATTGTCGTTTATAATATTATATATTAAACGAAACAATATATGAGAAGAGAGATTACAAAATCAACTATGATAGTTGATATTCTGACTGTATATTAAATATCAAATGTATCTACCTAATTTTGAATTCTATTTCTAATATAAACTATCATTGCCCAATATGAATTTAATTTAATATGAAACGATATTTTTTTATTAATAATATAATTCTCTAAATATTGAAACAAATTATTATTGACAAAATAATGTAAGTAAGACGTGTTTCGTGTTTTATTTACGATGGAAACATTTTAAGGAAATTATATTTTTGTTAAATACATATTGAATAAAATTTTTAGATACGATTGTATTCAATGAAAACAAATTGATAAAACATAATGCGAGAATGGAAATGCCAAAACAAAAACTTGTAAAACTTTTGATATTTTGAGTAAAGGTATGCTCAATCCATTACGATCTTCCATCCTACAATTTGTACATTTCCTTCCCGCATTAACTTTAACTTTCCAAGCAGGCGAGCGGGAAACAAGCTCCACCACTTAAAACGTTGTCTCCGACATTGGGGTGCGGGACTAGCTCGTCGTTGCGCGGTCGAGGGGAGGAGGAGGGAAAGCGGGTTAAACGTTGCATTATTTATAGAAACCTTGCAACCTCCTAATCTCCGTCTGAGAAGGTCTTCTGCCTACTTGAAATGGCCAACGAAGAAAGTGACGTAATGCCGTCGGTGCGACGAAATGTTAATGCTCCCCAACGCGTTTTCCCTACAAATTTGCCACGTCTCTTCCGGAAATCTTAGAGATTACGTCTTATTTCAATTCAGCATTCCGCATTTCAATCCTGCGATATTTAATTACGCGATACTTTTGCAATGGAACGAGGCTACTTAAAACGCAAGAAGGAACTGTTCTCTCTTCATGTCTTTTCCGCTTGTAAATATGGTATTTGTCTCTAGTTTCGATTTGCAAAAAATGGTCGCTTAAAAAAAAAAACAGAAACTTATTTAGATTTGATTTATTTTAATTGATATCAAAGCATCTACGTGTTTTAATTTAATTTCCTAGAAAAATAAAGAGCTTTTGTTTATCGTATTCAATCTTTATTATTTCCTTTTTTTTTTAAATTTGCAGATTTGAGTGGAACATAGAATTTCATACTTGTGTCACGGTAGAATATCGTTTATGAGATTTAATTGAGTTTATGCAGATAATCGCGCATTCATTTGATACACGAATATGTGCACAACATATTCGCGCAATAATATGTTGTGCATGGAACAAATATCGTAACAAGCGTATACTATGAGGGGCCATGCGTAATTAGCTGGATCGTACACACTATTATATATCGCGATTGCACGTCGTGGGTGTTCTGTAAACCCCTTTGTCAATCTTTGTTGTTGCCGCTAGGATAGATTAGACTGCATATTTACTCCGATATTAATTATTTCCATTAACGATTGATTAGCATTTACAGCTGAAATTATCTCTGTAATTAAATCTGATGAAGTAAAGTGCGTTATCATTTTAAATATTAATTAAAAAAATTTTGGCACTTAAGAAGATCGGTATCGATAATTGATATCGATAATCATATACTTCATTATTCATTTTAATTATAAGCCAAAATTAAATGCAGAAATCACACAAATGACAAGTTAATATTTACGAAAGATGTTTTAATTAATACATATTATTATTATTTTAATTAATAAAAATAAGCAGTTTATAAAAATAATGAAATTTCTAATATTTATATATTCTAATATTTTATAAAAATTCTCTAGGGAATAGTATAAAGTAAAAAGATATTTTATTTCACTGTTACTTGATTTATGAAAACTTAATACAAAAATTATTATTTCCATCAAATTTTCTAAATAATATAAAATTATTTGTAATAACACTTTCATATTTTAAAATTAAATTCTTTTGAAGTATCTTTTGAAATATAAAATATTATTTATTATTACAGAATTATTAAAATTAATATACTGTAATTATTTTGATGAGTTAAGATTTCTAAATATCTTAATTCGATTAGATGACGGCTGCGTATTCTCTTACAGAGTTTTCCGCGGTGAGACAATGTGAAAGAAATATCGCGATGCGTCGATAGATAAGAGTGCAGTGTCGCGTTTATGACGTTACATACGTAAATGTATGCAGCTTTATGTATATACCGCACGTCACATACAGAGTTAAGAATGCACACTCGTGTCATCGCGTGCAGCGCGCCGAAAGTGGAAAGAGCACGTTTCGCTTCAACCGGCTGATAAACGCGGTGTCCGCTTCAAAATGCATAGAATTACTTTACATGGCGAGTAGATAAAGCGCAGTCAACTGGCACATTGCAACGCCACAGGCGGTGTACGTATTTTCATCTTGCCCGTCTACACGCCGCTAATTTCATACACGCCACCCGGCGTCGAAAGCTGCGAGCCACGGTCGTGACATACGTCGCGGTTGATTTTTATGCAATTTGTGCTGGCGCATTTATGCACACCGAGCTGCACCGGACGAACCTCCAGTTTTGAACCCCAAATCCCCATTCCAAAAATCAAATCCTTCCGCTATATATTTAATTACGCATTTAGAACAAGTGTACTTTTTAGGAATTTTTCAAATATTTCCAATTTACATTTAGTACAGGATGAAATATATAGGATAAAATTTCGTCCCTCGAGAGTTTCTTGAGAGAAATGCAAAGAGATTAATAAATCTGTTATTTATATGTAATAATGCATCCGTCTTTTGGATGAATTTTATTTCTAGTGTTAGATATTAAAAAAACTGGCTATTGTGAAAGTGGACATATTAAAAATTAATTTTTAATTTGTAATGAGTACAATAATTTTTTGTGAACCATTTGTTATATTATAATAAAAAGAATAATATAAAACAGATGTCACTACATTAAGATATGATATATATATCATATCTTAAAATGCAAGTTTTTATATACTTCGTGACGATTATTCACTACCCAATTACTCTGGTAATGTTTGCATACTGACATTGTTTGGTCGTGAATGAGGTAAAGTTCGCGAGGCAGGCCTATACCACCGCGATGACTTACTGATCATAGGTTGATTTATATTCAATAACCAGCGGTAAACGCGGGGTTAGTTATCCCTCCCCCCTCCCCGGTACCCACGTGCAATCACGTCCTGCCACGTGCAAACGTGGCTGATGGTACGTACACAGACGTTCCTCACGTTCGTGTATCTAAGGGCTCGCACACGCATTCGCTTATACATACATATACATATATACATACTCTCTTCTTGCCGCTTGCACGCACACAGGCGGCAATGTAAACTCGATGATTGGTCCTCTGCGGAAGGATAGGGTCACCCTAACCGCCCTGTTCCTCCATTTGTGTTCCTTCGCATATCAGCCATCGCTCGAATTCGCCTCGCCGGGAGAACGGGCTACCGATCAAGCAAAATTTAATGGAGAGCTGCTTATAAATGCATGAGTGTACCCTTTTTTTAAAGGATCTTATTTGTAATAAAAGCGCAAATCGGATTAACAAAGTAGTACAATAAAATTTCGACATTGTGGTAATAATCGATAACGATATAGGAATTATTCAAT